GTTGCTGAGTCACGACCAAGATGTTCCAGTCAGTTAAAAAAACATAGAACTACTTTGGGTGTTGTGCAATATCCAAACATCCCTCACATGATACTGAGAATAAAGGCATTAGAGAAGAATATATACAAATTCAAAAAGAGTCACCCATTAGAATTGACTAATAACTTTTTAAAAAGCGTAAGTGACACATACAAAGTCTCTTGTAGCTACTCACCTAAGAAGTTGTGACCGCTTTGATCGTTTAAATTTCTGCCCGGTGTTTGCATGTCAAACTCACACTTTCACTGTGGCACTCAGACTCACTGTGGATCAGCACCTGACTGTGTGCCAGACTGTCAGTCCTGTGACCGCCCACTACCACCATCACCATCACCACCCACTATGCCACTGATGGTCTGTCAAAAAGCCAAAACGTGTCCACATGGACATAAGACATCCGGCAGTCTCAGTGAAAGAGGAGAATTTGAGGATGGATGAATCAAAAGGTTTCCTGTTTTAACTTTCTCTCTGTCAGTAGGCTACATTTTAATTCAAATAATATTTTGTTCCCAGAAAACAAGCCTGATTACTTAATATAACTTCCCGATTGTGTAATATATATCCAATGCAGACTCTGTGTTAGCAGTTTAAATAACTGTGTATGCATTGCGTTAACAATTACGCAGCAGTGACGAAACTCGCATCGCTGCAAACTGTGAACCGAGCGGAAGGTGACTAACCTGTTCTCTGTTTTGGAGCAGAAGAGCCCACTTGCTTTTGGAAGGTGGATCGCCGTCTTCTTTTGCGTGGATTTGCGTGTCAGCCTTAGAGAACCGTGGTGTCGTCTCGTGGCTTGCACAGGAGCGTGGTGTCTGGGTGTTGAGGTCTGTGTGCTGTCGAGGTTTCTGCTGCTGCTGCTGCTGCTGGTGTCTGCCTCTCTCTCTCCTCCCTCCTGTCGAACACCACTCGCCCGGGATCCCGAGGACACAGCAGAGGCATCAAATTACCCATTAGCTGTTCTGTCCACTCTTTGGCGTAAGCTCAAATCAGAAGTAAAAGATATATAACTTATTTGTTTGATCGCTTGTTAAATTAATGTTGGACACTGATTTGTGTGTATTGCCAATTTAATAAAGGAGTAGTTCAACATGTTGGGAAAAGCTCATATGATATCTTTCTTTTGAGCATTAGCTAATGTTAAGCTAACATTATAGGCCTAATATAATAAATAAACTAAAAAACAATAGGAAAACAGAAAAAAGCAACTCTTGTAAGTGATAATAGTGGGAAACTTTTTCAAAAATAATGATAGGCTAGTATCTCACAATGATTGAGAATGAAAATGACAAACATTATTTATCTCAAAATATTGTGTGTCGAAATCATGCTAATAATGAGGCTAAACGTAGCTGAAGTCAGGAGATGGCTTACTTATGTTTGCTAATTAACTGTCTGAAAGCCAGGGTAACATTATCCGCCTAACAGTTTTCCAAGAGCTCAACAATCTACGTCTTTCTATTTAGTTTTTTTAATAACAGTAGAATAACCGAATAAAGCCAGAAGTGCAATGGACCATGAGCATAGACCGTATATAAAGGCCATGAGCTGTTGCCAGGCAAGCTACAAAGACTCAAAGTTACTGCTTCCACCATTCCCGCCTTTTTAATAAGCTAGTTTATTACTCTGAGCAAATTCTTGTCAATAAAGTAAATAATTTTTCTAAGGTGTATTTCTCCCAATGTGTCTTAGTATTGCTTGTAATATTATAATAAAAAATAAAAACAATTTCCTTAAAACAATTATGATTCGTCATCACGCTCGTGAGCCCAGGGTGTCACCACCAGCTAGCCGCCCGCCGATTTTGCTGCAGCTCTTTCCCTCAAGAACGCAATACTGTAGCTCAAGCATTTATGCAATTTAGGCCTATAAATTATTGATGTAATTTATGTGCCGGTCACGGTGTGTCCATGGTTTTGTGTGTTGAGCGCAGCGCCGTCTGCTTTTTGCAGTAGGCCTACAGTACAGTAACTAAAGTAGGACTAAGCATACCAGTAGTTTCTTTCTGTAGACCTGTCTGCCCGTTTTGTGAGTGCCCTGTGCCCTGCACCTCATTACAATAGCGTCCACCCAGTAAAAAATAAAAACACTACACCACTGGCCGAAGTCAAGTAAACTATAAGTGTTCACTGACTTTGGTAGAGCACAGCCTGTTCTCTAGTGGTTAACACAATCTTAAATAAGTCACAATTAAAAGTTGACCTGGTAGAAGTTTCTTAAAAATATAAATATATATATATTTCAAATCTCGACAGTCAACAATTTAAGCTCATAGTTACTACTATATCATGTGCAAATATATGCACAACAAATAGCCTCTGTTCTATAGGCCTATATCTGTAGGTTTACAGACCTCAGACTAACCCCAACCTCAACCTCACGCTATTTCTAACCCTAAACCATACACTAACATCTACTAGCTATTTGTTTGACTGATTCTGGCTTACTTTGGTTTTAAACTTCCGGTAGCACACACAATGTGCAGCAAAAGAAGCCTGGTAAACAAATGTTTCCCATTATCTATACCTCTGCAAATGACACAACACAAAACAGTGTATCTGTTGCCATTTTTTCATGCTTTATGTCTGTGTCACTTCACCAGCCTATGACGTTCTGCATTCTTTAGTGATTTAGACAGATTTGACAGTCTTGTGTGATCACCTTTTTAAAGCAGCAAGATGTCAGTGTAGTTCAATCATGCTACTTCCACTGTGCAGCAGTCAGCTTGATTTCAGCTCCCTTTGATCTATCATAACTCTGTGAACTGAACTAAGACAGCTCTGGCAAACTTAGCTTGTTCACACATACTGTAGACACACATCAGAATCTCTCTCACATGTGTAACAGTCCTCCAGTCCCCACACATAATTTATATGCACTTAACTAAAAAACTTGAAGCCCTGGAGAGTTTTCCTGTTACAAAAAACAGCAAGCAATCCTGAGCAATAACTTCTGATTGTTTATACAGTTGACTCCCAGGGGGCTGGAGCTCTGGTATCTACATTTTTTATCATGTAAGTGCTTGTTTATCTGTGCAAGACTCTCCTACTACTGTCTTGACACCGTCATTATTATAAAGTGGAACATACATTGTTTTCAGGCCAGAGAGGAGAGCAAACTGTTCAAAATCAATCTGTAGTGACAAAAAATGTTATTTAAAATCAGTGTTGGCTCTTGATAATAGGAAATAGGCCAAATTGGTTAGCTTTTCTTCCCATCCTCAAACATATAGGTGATTTAAGAACCTTGTCTTAGGGTTCAATGTTTAACCAAAGTACTAATTGGTCCTTTATGCAAAATTAAGTCTTTGCTTGCTCTCAGCTTGGCTTCAGCTTGTTGGGATGAGCACCAAGACAAACAGGGTTTGTCTTGCTTTGGTGCGTTAGCCACCCACGTCCATGTCCCATATGAGCAGTTTGATGGACACGTTCCCACAGATCTCTGCATGACTGATCGTCCCATGGACCCAGAAACAGAGCGTGTTTCTTCCGTCTATCTTGTACATTGTACAAAGAGTGTGAGCGAGAGGATCTGTGAATTTGTTTCTCATCATCACTATATTTCTTTACAACGAAAGTCCTTTCAAAGCTTCAAGTGTAAATGACGAGGTTTCTGACATAGTGAAACACCTTAAGTGACACATATTGAAAGTTTAATTTACCTGACAAACTCAGGTGTTTTTCATTGAATATTAAATATGTGCTTTGTATGTGTGCATGAAGGGGAGGTCAATGCTGTTTGGTTATTCTGAACAAAACAATACAATAACAATGATTATCTATATCATTACATTTGCCACCGTATAACCTTTCCACTATATAATAATTATAGTAACCATATAATAGTGCCCATATTGATATCAGTGGTTGTTTTTAACCCGCATATGCCAGGCAAATTAAAGGCTTGGCAATTAAATAACAGAACAACATCAATCCAGATATGTTAAATGATTTAAATATAAATATAACGTATTTTAATGGCAAAAAGAGATAAGAGGTTGATGGCAGTAAAGTCAGTGAGAGAGACTCTCTGAGGTACCAAGGTGGCAGCTTTTGCAACGACTAGAAACATTGAGCCAATGTGCTCAATCAGCCCAATTGAAGGGTCCCATAGAGGATTTCTATATCTAAGTAGTGACACCTGCTGGCCAGGATGAGTAGTTGAATCCATCTCTCCATTGAGTAGCACACAACCAATGAAATATAACTGTAATTCTGAATGTTTGACCTATGTTAGCAACTCCTTGAAGTTGGCCTGTTGATATCTAAGGACTTTCACTTTTTTCTGCTTTGATCAAGATGTAGAACCCAAAATGTAACTATTAGAAATCAACTAATGGGGTGAATTGTGACAGCAACATATATCAATCAAACCATAGAAAATAAAGTTCGATTTCAATGCTTTCCCTTCTAAATATATCAATGAAATATTAAGCAGACTCAAAGAACAAATAGAGCCGTCGTTGACCTTACGCTGTGAAAGCTCTGGAGGGCGGCAACTAAGGGAAGTTCCCCATTTAGCATTACAACATACCTTTGCTATTGTCAAATAAAAGATGTGATGACCTCATGGCATACAATCACGAGCTCAACATCATGTGATCCAATTAGACCTGACGGTGTGCATGAGATAAAGCTCAATGAAGAAACAAACAAGCAGAAAATGCCTTACAAACACTTGAGTGGAGATAATAAGGAAGACTTAGTGTCAGAAAAACTTAGCTGATTCAGTGACATATTTTAAGATATACTGTTTGTATATGTAAGAATAAATGTTGCAGTTGGTTGAATACTGGCATATATATATATAAATCACATTGATGAAGTGAAATCACAAACTGCAAACTTTTGTTGTATTAAAAACGTTCATTCTAATTAGTTAACCTTACTTAAAAACCTTACAAATGAATCCGATCTTTACTATGTGGTCCTTAGAATAAAACATTGTAAAATAAAAAGCATTAATTGTATTTAATGAATGAGTGGAATGATGGAACCACATCTTTATTAACTTTTATCTGTACAGAAAAAAACATCAGTCACCAGATCATGCAAAGCAGTATTGTGTTACGAATAAAAACACAATACAAAACAAACAATATATACTTTACCATAAATATGGAGCCTCAAAAATATAAATCAATCAATATATTACAAAAAATAAACTCCTGAGATGACACTCACATACAAATACAATATGTTTTAAATCACTTGCAACGTAGTACTGGAAATGGATCATCAGACAGGTTGATTAGCGGTTCTTACATTTTGAGATATTTTTTCTTTTTTTGTACACATATGATCTTGAAATGCAGCAACTGAGCTGAAAATGACCAGTCATCGCACTGGATTCATTCCAGGTTGCCTTAAATTCAGTCCCACAACACAAAAAGGATTAATCACAGAAACCAACAGTTAAACATGGCATATTCATCTGAAAACCAGTGTAATATCTGCGGTAAAAAGCAACCTGGAAAGTTGTGATTGAAAGGAATCTTAAAGGGAATGTAAGAGTAAGGTAACAGATACATATCCTGTATGTATTTATATTTATAATAGGGTGACAGTACTCAACAGTTAAGTTGAGGTGTTATTGCACTACTGTCTCAATGTCTTCATGAGAATAATCATTACATTACAATACTGTTGATAGATCTACACAGAGGTGAAACAAGAAATCACCAGTCACAGCTACAGATGTGTCTTTTTACTCTTTGAAATGCATTCAGTTACTTATCAGGATTGATTGTTCAGTCACCAATATTCTCAAACCATTGGCATTAAATCCTGCCTGCAATACTTAATCAAACACTTGAAGTGAAGGAATGAATCTCAATTTGTAATCGACCCAGGTCTGCACAGCTAACAAACGTAGCTGAATTGAAAACATGTTCACAATAAAGCTACAACATCTAGAGAGAGAGAGAGAGCGAGAGAGAGAGGCAACGTAGGGCTCAACAATGATAGAGTTCACCTTCTTCTCCAAAAGTCACACTGAGCAATTGGAGGAGCCATGCATAACAATTGAACACGGATGAACATACACATATTTCGGACTCCCTAACATGACATTGAACTTCAAGGCATTTAGACAAAAAGGGGGCAGCAATGACGAGCCCATTAGTCATTTTGCCAAGAGACACAACAGCTTGATTTACCCATCAAAAAAATCCCCAGTCGTTTTTTTTCTTTTTTACTCACTGACCAAAACGTATTCACTGCGGGGGAAACCATAAAACGTCAAAAATCTGATTTTTCATCACATTTTTCACAATGTGTAAGAACCCAGCCACTTAATGAAAGAGTTATGTCATTGACAAAAGCTAAGTGAAAATATTTCACTATTTATTTCCTATAAGTGGCTTATCTCCCTTTTAAAGTGATATATATTTGTATTCATTTACTTTATATTTATATATATATACTGTATGTACATTTCATCTGTAGTCTCTAATTATCTTTTTATTTACTTCAGAAACAGTTCCTTAAAGTTTGCTCTGGGAAAAATAAATATGTTGTTATGCTATACTTGTCTATATCAATGACGTAACTCCTTCAGTCCAATAATTCTGGCAAAGCATCATTCTCTGAATATCCTACCCAGCAGGCCTCACTGTCACTCACACAGAGTATTTGAAAGTGGGGAGGAAGAGGGTACCAGGACAGAGGGGATACAGTACAGTTAACACACAAAGTTTAATCTCAGACTTGTTCACATTTAATATCAATCAAGTCATCACTGGCCAACAGTAAAAGGGGGGGCCAGGATCCAAAAGGGACTGACTACAGTTTGGCTGTGTCTAGTCAGAGAAAAGGCTGGCGAAGGACTTTCGGAGATTGCGAATGGTCTCAGCCTTTTCCTCGTCTTGGCCGTCACCTCCGGTGCTCGGGGCCCCGCGGAAGAAAGAGGAGTCGCTGAAGGCGTTGAAGGCATTGGTCAGGGACTGGGACTTACTGGGAAGGGAGGAGGGAGGGAAAAGGGAGGGGGGAGAGCAAATGGGCGAGGAGGGAGAGCAGGAAGGACGGGACGCAGTAAATAAAGTAAGTTAGAGGGAAAAGTAAGGAGGGTAGTCAAAAACACTATATTGTACAATGATCTTTGAAAACATTCTTAAATGTTGACATTGTACTTTACCCCCCTCCCCCCATTGATTATAAGCAATATATGAACATTTAATATATTGTTTATAACACATTATTTAGATATAAGCAGATATAAGGAAATGTTCAAGTCATTAGAATAATAACTTCCTATGAAATGTGTTTTACTATTGTCGTTAATATACTACCAAGCAATTAATAGAGAGGACTTAAAGTCGCTGACTCATACATCAACAAAAAGAAAATGGACCTTACATCTGCTTAAAAGGATTTTATAATAAACCACATATTATATCTTTATATACTGCTTATATATGCTAAATAGTGAGGGCTAAAACAAAGTGTGTATTTCATAGTTTCAGTAGGTTACCAGTTGGACTGGAACACTTAAAAGACACTTTGAAAATAACAAATATTTTTGATAAATTATCAAAGAAAGGATTTAGATATTTAAATCAGTTTTGTATTTAAATCACAAAGTATGGCCCATTGTGCTGACAAGACGGCTCTTACTTCAGAAGAGGGTGGGTTTTTGGCTGGGATCCTGGTTGTTCGTCCACAGCGGCCTCGCCCTCAGCAGGGGCCTCTGCATCTTCAGCTGGGACAGGCTCTGGGTTTTGGGAAGGAGAGGCCGGCATGGCCTGTGGCTGAGCCTTAGCCGTAGACTCTGCCTGAGGAGGGGACTGAACCTGTGCTGGGGCAGGGGCTGCGGAGGCATCTGCTGGGGCAGTGGGCTGGGGTTTAGGTAAAGCTTTGACAGGGGGCGGGGTTTGTGGCTTTGGCTGGATATGCGGCTTTGAATTCCTGCGAATTGGAGGGATTGGCTTTGCAGGTGGTGTGGGTTTGGGTGGCAGCTCTTTTGGTTTGCCAGGAGCTGGGGATGGGGAGCCCTGAGGCTGGGGCTTGGGCTGCTCTGTGGTAGGAGCTGAGGCTGAGGGGGAGGCTGGGGCAGGGGCTGGGGCAGTGGCAGTGGCAGGTGCTGGAGCTGGTGCTGGGACTGGGGCTGCTACTTTGGTTGGAGGAGAGCGTGGAGCGGCTGCTCTAGCTGGGGATGGTGGTGAAGCTTTGGCTGGGGTAGAGGAAGAATCTGGGGCTGACTTTGCGACAGAAGTGGCTCTCAGCATTGGGGGAGGAGGCCTCGGCACTGGAGGCCTTGTGACCGAGGCGGCCCTCTGGACCGGGGCCTTCTGAGCCTGAGCTGCTTTCTGAACTGGCCCTGGGCTAGGTTTCTGGGCCTGGCTGGGCTTTGGTACCGGTTCAGACGCTCTCTTTGCCGACTCTGATGGTGTATCCACACTCTGTGCTTTCACTGGTGCACCTAAAGGATTAAAATATAAATGTATCAGATTCAACTTGAATGATCATACAACGCATACAGGCAAGACGAGCTAAAAAGCCAAAATAAAGTAAAGGAAATTAATACATAGGCATATTTTTTCATCTAGCACCAGTTTTCTTTTTGTGCAGCAGTTTGAAATCAAGGCACTGACTAACCCTCACCAAAAGACCAAAGCAGAACATGATATAGGCCAGGGAATGAGCTTGAGTCTCGACATGCTCATTCACATAACAACTTTTCACATTCAAAGCACTCTAACCAACTCATCTGTCAAGAACAAACTGGAGCAAAGCAGGCTCTGAATATTTGGACTGCATTAACAACCAGCAGGTGGCGGCAGATCAACGGCTAAGAGAAGGTGACAAGTCCTTCATGCCAAGTATTGGTTGCTTTTATGCAAAAATCATGTGACCAGTAGTGTGGTGAAAACGACATGAAGGGAGGAAAGGAAAATGTCAGAGATGTAAATGAAAAAATGTAAAGAACAAAGGAAGAGATGATACAAACAGGAGAAACAACAATGGCATCAATTGTGGACTCAAACTCAGGCAGCAAAGCAACCTGGCTATCACGCAGCAGAAAAGAAACACATGCAGTACATGCTGAGTAGGAAGTGACTGGACAGGGACGAGTTTCCAATGACTGATTCATTTTCCTGGTCAGAATTATAGGTGGGTATCTAAATGATATCCTCCAACATAAAGTATATATTGAGTTGTCTTTGTAGACAGCATGGAAAGTGTATAAAAGTATGCTAACTTAATTAACATAACACTTTATTTTAAATGAAATGATAACCATGATCACATGATATGACCACAAGAAATACTTGATGGAAATTTATCCCACACATTGCCATTTAGTCATTACTGTAAAGGAAGCTGCAGCAAATGGCTATGAGTCTTATGTTTTCCCTAATGGTTGCTTGGAATTCACATCGCATAAAAACCAAAGGAAATACTATTTGTACAACATGATTAGTAAAGGGTGATCAAATATATATTTGCTTGGATGCAAACCATGGATTATTTGTTAATTTTTGATTATATATTAATTATATTTATATAATATAATATAATTCATATTTGTAATCACTTGGCTGCTTTATCTAAAGAGGATGCAACTCAACAAACTGGGTAAGCCTCTAACGTGTGCTACATCAAACCTCTTCATGTAAATCAGGACAGATTAAGACAGAGAAGAACAAACTATTATGTATTACCAGATGGTCTTAAGATCAAATATGATCAAATCAGTTATATGGATCCAAGCAAATTTGGAAATGAACATGCAAAGACAGAAAAATATGCTTCTTTACATTGAAACTCTTCATTAATCACCCAAGCAGGTTTGTATTAGCCAAGAAAAATATGTATTGTGTACCGTGTAAAGCCCCTTTGTCTTGTCTCAGGTATTATAACACAGAACAATGAGGGGTTAATTTACAACAACAAAAAACAGGCTGTTTTTCACTAAACATTCAGTTTTTGCAAAGTGGCCTTTCTTTCTATCTATTTGTATATACCATAAACTTGCACTATATGTACAGAACTTATTATGGTAAGAAAGATTGAAAAGCCATTAAACATTCCGAGCTGACCAGAACTTGAACAGTGATCATGTGCAGCGTATTTATGAAGATATTTTACATTTAATATCAGAATGCATACTAAAAAAGAAAAACATCTCTCTATAAATAGGCTAATCTGCAACCGTGAAATACATTTTCTCAGTGTTAGATTAAAATAAAAATAAATTAAACTGCAATCCTATTTGAATATCTTAAAATCTCAACACTGTTGGCACATGATCAAATCTAACTCCTGTAAAACATTAAATGGCAGCCTCCCTAAACCAACCAGAAAAACAAATTGAACATGACAATAAGTAATGGCATTTGCCATATCCATGCAGAATTAAAAAACCTAATTCAAGTAAATAAACAAACATGTGATAATGGTTTTGTTCATTTACCATGTTATATGATGTTTGATAACTGCTTTTAGTAGGCACATTTAGTTTAACGCAGCATCCCTGAGCACAAAATCACCACAGTCAACACGAACGCTATGGCTGCAAATAAAGGCCACAGGCTGGTTAACTGCCTGGAGTGAACTGTATTCACTTCTTAGTCTTGTGTCAAAGAGAGACACAGACGTAGCTCACACAGACAGCAAGGTCATATTCTTTTCTTGGACAATGTACTAGTTTAGTTTCAAGGCACAGAGATAAGGATGCAGATAAAATACAAATTGCTCTTAGTCTTAAAGGAATCGTTTGACAATTTGGGAAAAATAATCCAAACATCCAAATAAACTTAAACATGAAGCTACAGCACAGCAGCAAGTTTGCACAAAGTCTGAAACGAGGGAACATTTCTAGCATTGGTTCTGTTAAGAGAGATCAACCTTCTTTATCTCTTTTCAGTAATAACCTGTTGTTTCTTGGGTTCTTTTTAGTAATCTTTACTAACATTAGAAAATGTCTCTTTCAAGTACTGGATGCTTCATTTCAGAGAAATCTCTTTAGATGGGTGAAGTGAGACTTTCCCTACACATACTTTGGCCCTACAGTGGAAGCACTTGTATTACAATGGAGAACAGTGGTCAGACAACCTTGAGGTTGAGGGCGCTGGCCCGAGGTCCTGTTTGGATCTGGCAGTCCCTCCTTAGGGACAGCGCTCTGAGAGAGAGTGGAAGACAGATGAGAGAAAAACAGAAGACGTAAGATCATTTGTGAGAGACAGAGAATGGGAAAGAAAGGCAAACAAGGTTAAGCAGGTTTTAGTAAAAGAATCAGCTGTTAAATGTGAAACGCTACACCAAAGTAACTTTCCTGCAGACCTGTTGGATTATGAACATGCCTTTCCTTATACTCACAGGAAAATGTAAGCACATTTTGTATGAGCATGTGTCATTTAGATAATTATTTTGAGTCATCCCTCAGAGATAATGTAAAATTGTAATAATTGGCATAACTTTTGTTTGTTTTCATCACTTTTAACAGCGTATAATTGGGACAGGCCTTTAATTCCTTCCGCATAAAAGTCTGCCTCAACAAAAATGGAAATCAATTTGTTTAGCACAGCATGAATTGTTCTTCTATAAAACTTAGGCTATGAAATAATTATCAATAACAAATGAATACTTTGATATAGCCTGTCTGTGGGTGTCTGTAAAATGAACTGAACTATTCAATTGTTCAACAAGCTAACCAATAAAGTAGCTTGTGTTGTGTAGCTATTCATTTTGACAAGTTACACAGTGACTGATACTAAAATCTAAGACCTGCGCATTTTTTTTTAACACATAGCCACAACCGGCGTGTAAAATAGGTGTGGCTTAGGTTTTTACATTACGCTGGTTTTATATCAGCCTCTACCTGTTGGGGCTGCACAGTAGTCGGCTTCTGGCCCTGAGGGGAGCGAGCCGGAGAGCGGGAAGCACTAGATGACCTTGTGACCAGGGCTTGGTTCATCTTAGCCAGCACCACGTCTGAGATGAGCTGACGGTCCTCTGCCTGGTGGTCACCGATTAGCTGCATAGAAGAACCCACAACCTGCACAAACAGGACACAGATAACGTATCAGAAAGTGTGGGCCTTCTTTATTGAGAAGTGACATCGCTATAATGTTGTTGACCCATACTAGAAAAAGAGTTAGCCGAGAAAAACAAAGAACAGCACAGAGGTCAACACATCATGTTTGGACAAAGCTTTCTGGTAGTTTTTATACGATTGCATCTTCTACCAGGTTGTATATATTTGTTTAGATTTGATGTTTTATGGTCAGAACAGTTTTGGTTTATATGGTCAAGGTTTTCATGGATACTTTGGTTTGGAAAACTAAGTGTTTTGTTTTCAAATATGTGAAAAAATATACAAAAATATGCCAGATAAGACAGAAAATGATATTATGACAACATCCATGTACTGGAACTCAGCAATTGTATAGCATCATTATAAAAACCAAAACACTTATCCAGTGGAGATGACTCAGAGAATACATGTCTTTCACATTTTTCCTATCTAATCTACCTTTCACCGAAGTGCTGATTATTTTTGACATTCAGCATACTTCAAAGTGTAAGTGGGATGTTTAGATTATTGCCTGGAAAACGCAGGCTCATTGTGGCTCCTACATCATGTCCACCTCTATCCTCTTCAGCCTCAGACTGTCTCACTTGGATTTGTTCTCGTAATTGTTCAAACTTTGTCATGCCTCCATTCTCCTCTCAATGTCCTCCTTGAGTTGAGTTTCAACCCCTGCCAGACGTCTGATGTCCTCAGGTCCCATCTCTTTATAATTGTCTGGTGCCCCATCACAGCACCAGCGGATGTGTTTGCCTCTTTAAGTGCCAGTCAAACTAAAAGCGTATTTATTGACAACATAGCAAACTGTATTTAATTGGGAACAGACTTCTTCCTCCCCCATTATGTTTCCAAGTGGTATTTTTGATTTAGGCTCTGTCTCAAGAACAAATGGATTTCAGTCGATCAATCCACTTGTTTATATATCGTTAGCAATATGGCTACCACAAGCAGGTTGGCTTACATTACTGTCCAAAGCAAGAAACAACCCTAGAAATAGGAAGCCTGATCTAATGTATCTGCTGTGATCAAAGCAGGAAAGAACACCCTTTAGCTTAGTTCTGTAAGTAGAACAAACTGTTTTGTTGAGTTGCTCCTTTTGAAAATGCTCTCTGGTAGGCAGCAGTGTATATGTCTAGGGCTTTTACTGTGAAGGGTAACAACAGAGAAAGTGTAGCTGTAATATCCGTGACAATGTGGGAGCAATAATGAGTTTGCCCTTTTGGTGCAGACTAAAAAGCTTTGCGTTATTATTTTTATTACTTTTATAAGTATATGCACAAATCAAGTGCTATTCTCTTCCCATTTTGGGCCGTAAATCATGTGTTTATAGTCACCAGGTCGAAACCCAGAGGCAGACACAATTGTATATTGAAGGTGATGCTTATAGGGAACCAATCAAAATACAGATGGTGCCATTATTTACAATGTGCAATCAACATTTACTTCATAATCATAAGTTAAGCTAAAATGTTCCTCCATTGCCACGCTAACCATATGTGCCGTATCACTGTTTATATTTTGGTCCAGCCACTCGGTGCCAGCTGCATGAAATTTGGCAAAAACGGCCCCAACTTTTTCCAAGTGGGCTGAGATGACCCACACCATTGAGTGGCTCTGCGGTTACTGCCAAAATGCATCAAGAGAGAAGCAGCTCTCCATCTTTTGGCTTGTTCAGTTGCTCCTTAAGCTGGCCGAAATCTTGGCCTCTAATCAGCTCAATCCTGTGGCCAAATGAGTCCCTCAGGTCCTCAGGCTGTGTTTTTTTCTCCAGTGTTTTTTCATTCCTGTTATTTCCAGAGCTTCCTTTTTGACCAGCTCACTGCTTAATTCCTTGTTGGCTAGCCTTCTACCTGCATCATGGCCTTGTATTTCTGTGCCATTTTCCTGAAAGTCAACAATGCCTTTTAGCATCTGCAGTCTTGTTCCCAGGAGCCGAGGTGAAGCGCCTGGCAAGGATCATTTGTAAGCTATACTTACTTTTGATTTAAATCAACTTGAATGCTCTTGGGTGTGAGTATATCTTGGCTGGTTCCTGGGATGTATTCTCTTGTTACTTTACTGCCCATAACTTTGGTGCCTGGACTACCCAGCACTCCTGAGACTCCACTAGGATCCCACCTGCAGGCCTCTCGTTGGCCAGCAATCCATTTTTTTAGAGTTTCTGTTCCTCTATCAGTCTCTGTTTCTTCTTGTTTCTTCATTTGGGCTCAATCTTGCTCTGTCTTAGCCTGTGTCTCACTTTGGGCCTGAACCCAACTCTGTTTAAAGTTGAGTTTCTCTCTGTCCGAGTCTAAACTCTTCTTCGAGGCTCTCTCTCAATCTGAGTCTGAACTTCTGAATATCTGCCAGAGTCTGATCCAGTTTCTTTTTCTGAGCTTGTATCTGAACCTTAACCTTGTCTCAGTCATCGCTGCACACTAGCCCCATACAACCTTGGGCAATGAGCATGGCTTTAACCCCATGACCTGCTTTTCAGATTTAACTCTACCAGTTATCACAGTGAGTTTTGCTGCCAAAGACCAAATAAAAGCTTATCCCCTGAGAAGTTAGAAAAAAGTGAAAGACAATAGGGGCAGGAGACCAAGAGAGGTGGGCAATAGATAACAGATACAGGTAACCTTAAACTTAAACTAACACCAGATGTTAGTTATGAAACTAATAATATAATAATAATTCCAGCCAGACAAGCTAAGGCCCCACTAGTGTAAATTAGGCTAGACATGCTTAATTTAAGATTTAAAGACCATATTTGCCTTCTTATGAAACGCAACTACAACAGGCTGATGTCAACAGCTTTGTTAATGAAAGCTGGAGGTAAATACAGTGATAATACGGCAGCAGTCAAATAAGAGTTCTCTCCCTCCCTTCTTGGAGTGTTTTTTCTTACCTCAGTAATGTAGTCATTACCATCCTTGCCACAGATGGCTTTGACGGCACAAATATCCAGCCCTCCGAAGATCTCTGAGCAGGCATCAACCCACAGTTTATACCTGTCATCAAGCACAACTGGATTAGTTCTACAAAGAGTAGTCTGTTAACAACAAATGGTAAAGAAAACACATAGGGTACCACTAATGTGTGTACAACAATGCTGAGTTGCTAAGTGTGCAGTGGGTCAAGAAGAGCTGCAGGTATAAAGCACAACATGCAGTGAAGGTAAGAACGTTACCTTCCTTACACCATTTTGCTTGTTCTGAAAAATGATGGTCCTTGGACACTAGTTCATACGAAATATTGACTTGTGTATAACTTTAGCAAGGTAAGTCAGAGTAAAGGTGTAACATAACATAAGGTTGCTGCTGCTGGCTTTGGCAGCTGTAAAGAGGTCCATCACAGTTGCACTCTTAATAACTAAGACAAGCACACTAGGGCAAAACTGAAATATCAATACTGTCCAAAAGGACAATCTAATGTGCAGGTATTTTACTTTGTCTACAGATCATTTAAAATTACATTTGTAAGGTTTAAAGTCTAACTGTACTCTGTTTAAACTCTCACAGATTAAAGAAGATTTAGATTATAATGGTTTCTGGATTTACATTGTGGCATTAAGGTATTTTAATGGATGGCAAGATTAACTTTAATGAGGGAAAGTGGAAAACACCTTATTCTGTAGGGGGCTTCTGACTTTGTGAGATACATGCTTGCTTCTGATACAATGGAAGCTTCCGGTGCATCCATTTTTAGCTATTTAGCGACACTAAACATCATACAACTCAATTGTTGTTATTTAGAATTGCATTTAGTATCTCTTTAAGGCTTGCCAGTAATCCGGCATGCATTATTATTGTTTTTATTTGAATTATTATCTGTAACTGCTGTTAAAAGTAAAAATAAAACAACACTGTTTGCAAAGGTCTACAATCCAAATTGTAAGTATGAACAAAGCAGCTCAATGTAAAAATTGAAATGTCCTTAGCCAAATCATCTACAATCACAAGCTGATTTCCAAACATCTGTGTTTGCCCATGTGAACTGGTTTCAGCCCAATGAATCTGCTGTGAGAGCACATAGTGACTAACAGTTAAGTGTGCGACACAAAGGCAGCCGGAGCATCACTAATGTGGAAGCGGTGCTCACTTGTCAGTCATGGCTACTTGTTCCAACATGGCAGATCCGGTGTTACTCTTCCAATTACCAGAGATGGATGTTCGCCTGGAGGAAGAGAGGAAATTGTGTGTTAAATCATTACAGACAAATTGCAAAAAAAGGTAATAGAGATTCAGGCAACGGGCACAGCTGCAGGTTATCAGGCTGATCACCATCCAGGTAAAGATACTACAGTGTATGCACAGGTTTACACACAGCAACTAGGTACTGAAACACACCCTGTCTAATTCATTTCAAGTTATCCAGTTAAGCACTCAATTTGCTGGTATTCCTTAAACTATTTGAAAAGCATTCCAAAAGAAAATGTCACACATTATTTAAAATCATAATTGTGTGTATAGGGTCCCTAGAAACTTGATGCAAGTGATAGCATGTATGTTTGACTATCCTTGTTGGCCTTCTGATGGTGCTGTTGCTCACTATTACGATAAAAAAATTAAGACATTTATGAAAAAAATGGTTTCAATTGGATTACTGTCACAATTACATGTTGAAGTTCAGGTATATAGAACACACATAATAGGCTAAAGAAAACTCTAAGTAAAAGATGAGATCACACACATGTATGCTTTGTAGTCAGCGCCGATTTTCTGGACCCTGATGTCGTATTTGGCATCTATAAATGGCTCCGTGGTGCAGTAGGTCTGAGTGATGGCCACCACGCTGGCAATGTCCTGGAAATCACTCATATTGTCCACTTTGACCTTGAAAAACACAAATTATTAAAAGGAAAGCCATACATTGCAATGTAAATACTGTTATATTTTACTATAATAATAAACCTGATTCTGATAGATCTTATTTTCCATCAGAGATTGTAAATGTTCCATTTTTGTAATAAGGGCAACACGGTTGATACCACCCTTATGTCTGCCCCTTAAATATGAAGCTAGAGCTAAACAGATCAACAGTTAGCTTAGCATAGAGAAGGGGCGGAGGGCTAAACAGCTAGCTTGGCTCTGTCTAAATCAGCCCCTCTAAGGCTCACAAATGAAAAACAGACTTCTGTTCACTTCAAACATAGAACCCCCTTCTTCCAGTCCTTGTGTTAATTAAACATAAAAATGCTAGCTAGGTAACAAAAACATGAAGATTGCATTTCTAGTGTCGATTGTGACTTGCATAATGGCACATCGTCAATAATGCAGACCTAATTAAAATACTTGGATCAATATGGAGCATGGAGAAGAAATAAGTGATGCTATCTGATGTAGTTTCAGTGTCCTAAAAGTGAGATTCACAATAATACAAACAACACTGTAGAGTATTTATCAGGAAGGACCCTCTTTTTTGATCGCTGATAAACAGAGAATGGCTCTGTAGTCGAACAGAGGTCTGTGAGTGATGTGGGGGGAGGATAAAGAAATAAAGAAAGGCCCAGTTACACAGCGGGGGGAAAATATCAGATTGAGCAGTCCAGGGGAACGATGTATGGTGGATCGATGAGAAGTGGTGAAAAGAGGTTAAACACCTCACCCAGAAAATATTAACACAGTTGTTAATCAATACCAGCACAACAAAAGGACAACACAAGGACTGAGGGAGAATAAAAAGGTATGCTGCAGTCATAAAAGAATGAAGAGTAAAGAAAAACAGATGGACATTAAGAGGTATGTTTGTCGGAGTATTCAGCTATCTCTTGGCACAAAAAGGGATTTTAAAGACCGACCGATAATAAACCGTGTTCCCTTATTTTACTGATACATGTCTTCCATTCAAACAAGACATCACTGTTGGATCAATGTTAGTGTAGGTGGTTAATCATTCATGTAGTAACATCACTAACTTTAGCATTTTAAATTGAATTAATTACCTTTCCCATTCCAGAGTGGGCGTGTCCTATCTTCACCACCACTGGGAAACTTGGAGATGTAATCTGAAAAGCAATAGAATATTTGAAGGGTGAATAATGATGAATACCAAGAATGACCTCATACACACCGGAAAGAACCAGTTGTGAAAAATGAGTGGCTGTGAAGAACAATATCATCCGTTTACAGGTTTATGAAGATAAGTAGGTCCTTATGGGTCTAGCATTGCAAAACATGACAATCTCAACAAATAATTTAGAGTTTATATAGATCTGCCAGGAGGTGATGGCTCCTTAGTTACTGTGCAAGAAAAGAGATTTGAACCTACATTAATTAATTATCGTATTATATATAAATACAGTATATCAACCATCTGACACTGAGCAGCATTAACATACATTTGGAGGGCTGTTTCTGGACGCTAGACGAACAATGAACAAGTAAATGTTTCACTATGTTAGGATAATTGTACGTCCGCCTGATGACTGATTTACTTCAACAAATATTACATTTAAACATAGAATTGAGTGCCGTGCAACATTCAAATTGTTGTAGAATGTAATACAACATTACACTGCCTCTGATATGTTTGTACATCTGGTAAGGTTTTAGCTACAGACTATCATTTAAAAATTATTTCTGTCTTTACTGCTGTTTCTTTTTAAATGGGCTCACATGCAATAAGATGTCTACTTTTAAACATTGCTCCTAAAGTGCTGTGTTGAGATGAAATTGCAGCAGTTTCCCTCCAAACAGCAATATTTGTACTCTAGAGACCGTATTTTTTTTATGATTATCGTTTCCATTTATTGCTCAATTCACTGATGTGTGATTCATCTGAAAAGAACACTTCTAATTTGTATTTATGCTTAAAAACCTGCCCAACAACACTTTAATTGGTCTTAATTTTCATGACTAACTGCTTGAATGCAGCTCTGGCAGCCAATGGGAGGAGAGGGAGGACATCAAAAGAGGGTTACAAGAAGAGGCAAAGGATGGTCGTTTTTTTCCCCCTGCGTTTGAGGAGGTCCCTAAATTGTTGAGTACATAAGAGACTCCCTGTGTGCGACCCTCTCAGCATTCAAGACCAGAGTGTGAGGGGATCCGGCTATTGTAAGTTTCTCTGTGTGTTGTCTCCAGAGAGGGAGAGAGACAGAGAGAAAGAGAGAGCAGTGGCAGCAGCAGCAGCAGCCTTCTCTTCAACTCGAGCCATTTTCTCCGGCTTGAAATTAGAGGTGTTTTTAAACTTATGAAAACATTTTTTATCCACAGCTGCCTTTGAGCTCAGCAGAGCTAATCCCACCACTTCAACTCTTCTATCTGTTCCTTCCCCTGTTGCTGCCTGATCTGCTTTTCCCGTGGAACTTAACAGGATCAGAAGAAGGTTGCACAGCGTTCATCGAGTGGTGGAGCGGGCACAGTCATCATGGCCTTGTCCCAGGAGCGGAGTGCGTGTCTGGGCCTCTGGGTTCTCCTTTTGCTTGGTGCAGGCATGGAGGAGGTTGTGGAGGGATGTAGCTGCCACCCAGCACACCCACAGCAGCTATTCTGCAGCGCTGAGATTGGTGAGTTAATAACTGAAGACCCATTTAATTTCTGTTCACTTAAGAGTATAAAAGCTGCTGTGTTTAATACAGATAGAGAACTCACTGTGAAGGCAATCATTTAAAAGGCAGTCTATGATTTTAAAATGGGAGTCTGGAGGAATGGGACTCTGATTTGGATTTTTGATCAACTTCATTGGATTGTCTGGGAGGGGAAGAAGTGAAATCCTCTGAGAATATGTACTGCGACAAAAAAACACTCTATAAAGCTTTAGGGCTGAGCTTTTTGTATGTGAAAACAAAAAAATGTTGATCATTGTTTTTATTGTTGTGGCTTTTTCCAATTGTTAATCAGTTTTGCAGAAAAACGTTGACTATCTAAATATCGGTGATTTAAGTATTATATAGGACATCTAAATGTAACATATATGGATTGTTAGGGCACTGATTATGGATTAATGTCCATAAGTGAACTTTCATATCATATTCATAAGAATTACACATTCATACTAGTTTTTCTGACCGCCCCTCTTTTTCCTATATGGCAATAAGCACTAATGTCCATTAGTGTTAATGTAACTTTTTCGAATTCTGGACAACCTGCTATCTGTTTTTCGTAGTTACATAATTGAGTCGTCTTGTTCTCTTCCCTGTAAAAACAAACCCTAAAAAAACAGCGAGTGCCTAGTGGCCCCTGGCATACTTTCTATCTGTCTGTCTGTTTGTCTGCAGGGTTGTCTGCCTGTCTATCTGTCTGACACCCCCCCCATCATCCAGTTCTTTCTTGTCTAAGCTCAGTCCAAAACCAACACTCTGCTCTGACTTTGAGTACTTGGCTCCCAACTGTGGAAAGCTGAAGTATGTGCTTCTGTCAAAGGTTACACTCCAGCAGAGAAGAGAGACAGACAAAAAGAGAAAGTAGATGAAGAAATAGCTTTAATGGCATTTTTGTCTTGTTTTTCTAATTGGTTTGTTTGTCCCCCGGTGTATAAATAGGTCAGTTCCTTCAAAGTACTCGGAAGATGTGTCTCATACAAATAATCAGTCTGAAATGGAGGCTGAGACCTGTTTTCAGAACCACCATAACGCCAAATTAGATCTGGGTTATGAGAACACAATGAGAATGGGGCAGTGTTATTAGGCCAGAGTTTTACATACACAGTGTTTCTCTTATGAGTTAGACTACACCTAAACCAGGCCTCAACTTTTGCAACTATGCTTATAAAGCACTCTAGTTGTTATATCCCTCTTCTGGTATTTTCTTCTATCATTCTTTTTGGCAACATAAGAACCCCAAAACTATTTAACAAGACACCGAAGCAATTCGTGCTGGAAGTAAGCTGCAAACAGTATCATTTTAAGTTGATTTCATTGCTGGTAATACTTCCACAGCAGAGCAGCAAACGACTACATTATTTTGTGGGATTAAAGGTTAGAAAAGCTTCCTTCAAGACTAAGACATCTACTGTCTAGTATTTAGACCCTGCGTGGGAGTCGCATAATACGTTGCTATCAGAGTGTAATGCAATGTTAGCATGTCTGTCCTGGTATATCGAAGTAAAGTTATTACTCTTACAAACTAAATAAAAGATACAATTGTAGGTAAACATTTAAAAACCATTATAACCTATGTGTTGTTTGTCTTGCTGTAAGCATCCATAGGGGCATGTCAATAACAAATATCAGTTTGAAGTTAAATTCCCCCATCATAAATGACTGCCTGTAATACTAGACTACAGTACAAAAACAGGGCATTTTCTTTAGCATGAAATCAAGTCTGTTGCATGTTTTCAGAAATCCTGTTTGTGACCAAGCCAGTCAAACACAGAACTTCCAACCAACCCGTGAAGCTAATGATTATTATTTAGCTACCAACCAACAATTACATGTACTTAATATATTACTTACTATCATTAGAGGCACCGTTTCTTCAATGTTATCATTGTAAACTGTGTGACAGGACAAATAGTCAAATTGTTTTTTATTGTACGTTGATACCATTTTCTCTGGTTATGCTTGGGAACCGGTCTTTGTTAAGTTTGAATGTAAAAGTTTATCTCTGAATGGATACAAGAGTCCGTGCTCTTTTCAGGTAGGATACAAATCGTTGGACCCATGAATAACAAATAAGGAAAATCCCTCTCTCACACTAATTGTGTCTTAGAAAACGTTTCATCTCTTGGCATCGGTTGCTACACTGTCCTGGTTGTTTTTGAAGCTGGTGGTGGCCTTTAGGTGACCTGACAGTGTTGTGAGAGTCGATGAGCCCTTTGAATAAAGCTGTGCATCTGAGTAATATCCCATCTGGACAAACCTTAGACGATTCCCTGGCTGTGTTTGTGTATTTGAGATTGTGTGCATGAGTGTGAGTGTGTGTGTGTTGGACAGAGGCCAAGCCATGCCAACACAGCCTACTCCATCTCTCTCTCTTTCTTTCCCTCACTCTCCCCACTTCATTTCCATGTCTATAGGCTTGGTCTAATGGTCTGCATACTAACAATATCAGTGTGAAAGCCCGCTGACAGTCCAGCTTTGTGAGCATGACAAGGGTGCCGATTCATCAGGAAGGGGGGAAGTTACTTACTACATCAGTTCTCATGGTTTGCAATATTTCTCTTTGGTTATGTAGCTGTGAGGAAGATGCACAGCCACTTTTCCTCAGCAGGGGGCCTGTCCTGTTCATGGTAATCAAACAGCTGCAGCAACTGAAGTGAGTGGGTAACCTAGCCTGCGCAGTTCAAATATGTCTACATGGGGAGTAAACATTTTGGAGAATCTGGGCCAAGAGAATCATTTAAGAAAGACCCAAGAACCATGGAAATAATTGAGTTTGGCTTTTCATTCAATACTTATAAAATCTACAATAAATGTCATAATACAGAAATGATTATCCCTAGATGGGGATCCAACTAAAACCAATGATCTGCTATAGTGAATATCACTGTGCTATTCTTGGATTATTGGCAATAGAAACTTCTGTGCCCATCCATTTTGCACTGATATACCGCCAATGCTCACACTGCCAACTATTTGATCCTGCGAGCGCAGTTATGCCGTTGTGGATTATAACCATTATCAAGAGTCATTATTCTGCTTAGATGGGAACATTTGTATGGGGAAGATACTTCTCCAAAGCATTTAATCTACTTTACATTTGCCAAAGTGCAGATCAAAGAGCTGAAATGAACAAAAAAGGGCAATAATATGATTATCATCATTGGTTAAGTGGTTATTTTTCATGTGAGCATGACAGGCTTATTCAGGAGTGTAATAGTAGTTGAGGAGGGTGTGCTGATGTTTAAGGGTTCAAAAGGAGACTTGTCAGAGGCCTATAAAACAATACTTGCCGTTTGTTTTGAATATGACTAACAGATGCTCAAACTTCAAGTAGATACAAGTAGAGCAATCCTTTTGGTATCTGGGTTTGTTGAACAGAACTAGTTTGTATGTTATATAATGATGTGGATAAAAGCTAGCTTACTTTTTCTCCTCTGAACAGCTGGCCAAACACGGTATAAAGTCGGAGAGTTTGATTATCGGTTTTGAAAAGTTATAGAAAGGTTGGACACAGCGCCCACTGATCGGATGTTGAAAAGGTGTGTGTGTGTGTGTGTGTGTTTGTATGTGTGTATGTGTGTGTGGTGTGGGGCTTTTTGACCATCAAACAAGTGTTCTTACAGAGTATACTTGAAGCTTTGGCTGATCACAGATACATTGTATACGTTTTAGTTATCGACAAGTAAGATAATATTGAATATATGTTTGAGGTCTATCAGAGACCACATGTCAGTTTTCAATTGTTTAATAACAAACAGACCTTTATTCTTATCTCTGATTGTGGAATCAAACTGCTATAGTGTTACAACTTATTAAATTAGTTATATTTAATACCTAAACAACAAAGTGTTGGGCATATGCTTTGCATGTAAAATCTTGTCCTGCATGGTATACTACAATCTTTTGTTTAAAAAGATATGCATTGAAGTAAACATTTAATTTCACTCAAATAAAGTATGGTAGAATACTTAAGAAAAGGACAAGCACATCTAAATTCTACTGAAGTGCAATACTCTATGGCTAAACAGCACAATTATTACTGAAAGTGTATCCACACCACTGCAATGTAATAAGCATTTTATTAAAGTGAATTTTTAACTTTTGCTTGAGGTGTTTAGGTCACAGCTGCTTGTACAAAGGCGAGTTTACAGGCTTGTGTGTCCTGATTATATAAGTTAGTTTTTGAAGAAGCTCAAGATGCTTTATACTTTACTTGGAGCAACTTATCAGCATCAATCAATCTGTATGAATCTACAGTTGGATGCAGGCCACATGTTTTCTGACATACTCTACCCTATATAAGCTAGCTTTGTGTGCTGTCTGATATTTTCCAAAAGAGACCCGTCATTGGACCAGTTGACGCAGTGCACTATGAATAAACTATTACACTTCATACAAGTTCCAATTAACTTCCTGTCCGTCCGTTTGTTTGTCTTCCTGCTTTCCTAACTTCCTGTGTGTTTGCCTAGGAAAATAATATTCTTCTCCTGAACCAATTTCCAAGAACACACTGAGCTCCAGGGTGTAGTTATGTGATGAGGCGGAAAGCTCAAACAAGGGGATGGTTTGGGTGGCTGTGAGAAAGGTTGCGGGTTAGGGTCATTTTCTCTCTCCCTCTCTTATACTGTAGCTTTTACGCCTTTGTTCATGGTTTTACCAAGGTCTGTTGCTCCACTTCTGTTTCTTTCCTTCTCTGTTTTTATCTCACTCAGGTGCATCTAGAGCGGACCACATTTTCTCTTTTGCCAAGAAAAGTAAATAGTTATATACTACAGAATACTGTATAATCAAAGGCCATGACAGTCAACCTACTGTAAGATTTGCATTGCTAACTAGGTCAAACAATAAGGATATTTGAGTGAATTACATCTTAGTTGCCTATACAACAGCATAATCAATCGTCTTTGCTAAGCTCCACCACCAATTTATTATTGGAGCTAAGTCTGTCTAGCTTTATCTTCTTACACGGCGCATAATGCACTTAAAGGGTTATTTGAGACGCATTTTGACTTGAAAATTGTAGTAATTTTTGAAAATGGGTTCATGATTTCAAATAAAATCGGTTCATGACACAACAGTAATAGATTTCATTATGTTAAATAACTCCTGTCTGCTTCTTTAGGGCGTGCAGACCGCAATCTACTGTAGGTTATTCGCTGAAAATGGATAAGTACTTCATTCAAACAATCCTAACTCTCCCTTTAGGCTAATGATGATTAATGATACAACTCTATGCCTTTTATTTTGCTGTGCCAATGCTTTTCTGTTAATGTGAGATACAAGCTAATGGAGCTGTCTGCCATGTTCAAAGTCACTCTGTAGGACTTTTCAATAACCTGTAAAAACTATAGGCCTGATAGTACACTTAATTATGTTTGAGTGATTGATTGACCTACAACAGTGTTGTTAGTTTTAAGGAAATGTTTGACAGTGAAATGAATTTGGCAGTTAACATAATGACTCATGCAGATGTCAAAAAGTGCAGATTAATGGGTGTGATGGAAGGAAAAAAGCAGTTCTGTATGTCTGGGATAACACTGTTGTATTTGGCGCAGTGTTAACTGCATGTTGTGGTTTGTGGGACTGAAACATCCAACATTAATAATACCTTCAGTGTAATGAGGGTTTTGTCTTTAATGAGAGGTTGTAAAATGATACGACTTCAAATGTCCTGTTGAGGAACCACAGACCAATTAGCCTGCTACTTTAGCCTTTTACTACATTTAAGTACAGAATAAAATAATATTAAATCACTTCTGTGCCAGACACGGTTTGGCTTGTGTTAGTATGTATTTGTTAAATACTGTATTCATAAATGTGTGTGTGTGGAGTCAGTTAATGGGAGTGTGCAAGCAGAGAGCTACTTGTTATTCCATGTGGGTTTTGATTTCCCTCCCAGAGGAGAGAAGGGACACATCCTGTATCACTACTGAGAGGGATCGCTGCACTGTCTGTGTGGGGAGAAAGACGAGTGACAAGCAAAATGATAAAGGAGGAAGGAGAAGGGGAATAAAGAAAGAAAATAACACATTTATCCATCGATAATCTAGAGTGAAGGAGAAACATGTAACCCACTAATGGTAAACATGAATACTTATTGCATGTAAATCACCATCTTTTCTTGCCTATGGCATTTCAATTAATCTCAACACTCTTTTATTTCTGTTTCTTTTTTACTTCTCCCGTCAGTGATAAGAGCAAAGATCTCCGGAGAGAAGATTGTGTCGCCTAGCAACAGCTCCTCACCTTACATGAAGATGATCCAGTATGAAATCAAAATGATCAAGGTGAGATCTCTGTACAGTACTAACAGCTGCTGCATGCAAGCATAATTGCTGCCGTTTATGCTGATGGGTGTATAGCTCTATAATTACGTGGGCATTGGCTACGCTGTCAGGAAAGGAAAACAAAATCTAATTGGTCCATTGATCAAAACCTTTATTCACACCAGAAACAAAATGGTCCATCTCCATTTGAACGAATACTGGCCATTAGTGTCTGCTTCAAATGAAAGAAAGCCAGTTTTATTTCTATTTTGGACTATATTCACACGAGGGGAACAACCCTCAAGACACCAACATATACAGTTGGAGAGTTCAACTTTTGATAACATTACAACATTAATTTCACTCAATGTTAAAGAAAATATTCTGCCTTCTCTCAAGCTTATCAAATAAAATCATCTACCAAAAAAGGTTCCCACCCTGAATCCAACAAGGTTTCTTTTTGGAGACACATATACATTGTCCTATTATTATTGCTGCTGCTTGCATTGTTGGCACATATATAGTGTATTTAAATTGTATTAGTCCAGGTTTGTACCCCCTTATTTCCTCTCCAATCTCTCCCTGTGTTTCTCTGTGTACAGATGTTTAAGGGTTTCAACAAGGCCAAGGACATTCAGTACGTGTACACCCCAGTCTTCTCCTCTCTGTGTGGAGTCAAACTGGACTCCAACAATAAAGCAGGCTATTTGCTTTCAGGTACAGTACGCAATGGTCAATCTATATATCGCACTTTTAGTAGGAAAAGGCCACAGAAAGTTTAACTTTTTGGGAAATATATGTCTATCTTTTTCTCTACTCTTCTAAGAGTTAGGTTAGAAGATCAATATGACTTCCATGTGTGTATGGTACATGCTGCAGACTGCATTCAGTTAGAATCAGAATCAGAAGACTTTTAATCATCTCACAGACATGCTGAGCTTAGCATACATACTGGAAAAAGGAGAAAATATCCCCTTTAGAGCTAACACCTTCTCATTTATCAAGTTTGTACAAAACAACAAGAACCAAATTAGCTGATTTCCCTCTTTTTAAGTTTTCTAATGTAACTCTTGGCAAGAAAGATAATTCAAAAAAATTTCACAGCTTCACTATATTACGCAACCTGAATTATATAAACTGCGAACAGATAATAGCTTTGTTGTAAATAATAATCCTATAGGCTGTTATATAATACACAACCAGACAACTACTGAATGCAGGATGACATTTTCAATAGAAGTGTTGTGATGTCCCAAAACAGGAAGTATGTGGAGTGATGGGAGAATTTCCATTGGTCAGTGCGACCTCGTAGAGTCTTGGGACAACTTATCCTTGTCACAGAAGAAGAATCTCAACTACAGATACCAGATGGGCTGTGAATGCAGAGTGAGTAAGGACTGTTTGTTCTCTATTCATTCCAGAGATGTTCACAAGTCTTTTTTTGCAAGTCCAAGTCAAGTCTCAAGTCTTTGGTCACGAGTCCAAGTCAAGTCTCAAGTATTTGTGGGGTGAGACTTGATCAAGTCTCAAGTCTTTGGTCACGAGTCCAAGTCAAGTCTCTAAAAAATAAAAGTCTCATGTCTCTTCTGGTTGTAATAAGCCTTCTATTGTCTGCTGCTATCCAGTCTGTTAAGAATACTGCACAGCTATATCTAAGAAATTCAAAGCATTTACTGTATTATTATCACTCCTAGATCTATTAGCATACAGTATCAGTACTGATTAGTTGTTTGTTATATGATCACTTTAAACAGGCTATTGCAATGCAATATGAGGACAAACATCACACTTTAGCTAAATGCAAACAACTTATAAGCAAAACACTTCAGAATCAGAAATCAGTATCACAAATACTTTATTAATCCCCCGCAGGGAAACTGTGTTAAAAGTACTTAAAAGTAAACATTTGTTCTGTGCCATTTGCAACTAAAAAACTATTGCTACAATATTATCTGAAATATACTGAACTGGTGATATTAAAACATGACCTGTTCCAAAAGAGATATCTACCATTAACACCATTTACCAGCCAAATGCTGGTAAATCATGCAAGTGGCTGGTACTGTATGTTGCACGCACCAGCCAAAAATAACAATGGCAATCTATTGAGTGGCTGGTAAAATTTCAACATTCACTAGGCTAGCCATTTGGCCAGTGGACAAAAATGTTAAAATTTGACCTCTGCAACCGTATTGTTTAATTACACTGGGTCTCTAATGACATCTTTTAAGTCTACTATAAATAAACATATTCCTCTATCCTCTCACTCAAACCCAGTGTAATGGTAACCTGATAAACCTGTAACATTAACGTTACTTGGTCAACAATAAACCTGTAACCTGCCAATAAACCGACAGATGTATTTATGTATGTAACTATGTATTTTTCTACGTTTAACGTTAGCCAGTAGATGGTGGCAGCGGAACGTAATGATTAACGTTACCGACCTTTTTTATGTCATGTCAAGAGTTGGATGTCAACGCCACTCAACGCAAACAAGTGTGACAAGCAAACATTCACTCATCTTTTCAAATATTCAGTTACAAAGCTAGTAGCAAGCTAAGTTAACATTACATAGCTGATGCTGAGCTAAACATGTTTGTTAACCGTCCATATGCGTTAATGTGACTGACCTCTCCGGGTGAGTTTTCAAGTGCCTGATGAAATTTGACGTTGTTGCACCAGCATCCTTGATTTTAATATTGCATACTTTGCAGTGTGCGCTCCTTTTGTTGGTGCCGCTGGCGTTTTGTTCGAAGTTTTTATAGTTGAACCTAATTACAAGCGGTACAGCTGCAGGTGTGCCGCCGGTCGCCATGGTGTTACCATAATGTTAATGTTAAAGGTGGGGTAGGTAAGTTTGAGAAACCGGCTCGAGATACACTTTTTGTTATATTCCATGGAATGCTCTTAACATCCCGATAGCCGGCCCGGCTAAAGTAACTGGATTAAGTAACCTGTCAGCCTCCCATCGGGGCACAAACTTATCTCGTGCCCTCATTGGTCATGTGCGCGTTCGTGTGTGTCGGAGGAGGGGCTCTGTGAGGAAGTGGCAGATTTTCTCCGGTTGTGTATTTTCAAATTCGAGCGATCTCGAGCCGGTTTCTCAAACGTACCTACCCCACCTTTAATACGCCAAAAATAGAAAACACAATGATTGTTCACGAGTCCCAAAACACGAGTCCAAGTCGAGTCCGAAGTCTTTTGAGCAGGAGTCCAAGTCAAGTCTGAAGTCTCTGTGTGTGCGACTTAAGTGCGACTCGAGTCCGAGTCACAAACTCGAGTCCCCATCTCTGATTCATTCCTATTTATCTTTGACCCAGTCATAAATCTGCCCTCGAGTAACCTCCAGAAACAAACTGCAAAACAGTTGTTTTTCTCATCCCTCACTCAAACTTTTTCTCTATTTGAGTACGAAAAACTTTAAAGCGTTTTTTCTTTTCACAATCAACACTCATTCATAGCTTCATGTGTCGATAGAGAAACAGTATTTCAAATGTAACCCAACAAAACTCTCGTTCTTAACACATGCGAAGCAGACTTTAGCAACAAATAATGAGGCTACTCAAACATTGTATCCACAGATCAACACCTGCTACACAGTGCCGTGTGCATCAACAGGAGAACACGAGTGCTTGTGGACGGACTGGCTGCTGGATAACAGCCTAAATGGAGAGCAGGCTCGGCAGTATGCGTGTATCCGTCGCTCTGACACGACCTGTGGCTGGTACCGGGGTGGACCCCCACCCGAGAAAGACTTCCTGGACCTGGCTGACCCTTGACCTGTAGTTCTGACGTTCAGTATACTCCATTTAACTCCTGCAAAGTCCTGAGAAACATTTCCTGCTTTTGCTTATTTAGCTCAAATTTGACATGCAAGTTATTTTGTTAAAAATAAATGTGGCTGAATTATTTTTTCATATAAAAGGGAGTTTAGCAGAGTTCAGGAAAATTGTTGTAAACGGCATGGGCTTTTAGAAATTCCTCTGTCATTTTCTCTCACACAAAATAAGATCAGCAGCAGAGCATCCACTGCAAATGATTCACACCATAGTGAATCTTTCCTTTATTTCTGATGGCCTGAAGGTAAATTAATCACCTTGGCAAACACTAACGACTTCATTTTTGTTGATGTATACATTTCAAAAGGCTTGCATTTACTGAAAGTATGAGGAAGTTGGACATTTACTGTAAAACAATAGGAGGAAAATAACAGAAATAATCTGCCAACTTCTGCCACAATCCTGCAAAGTTTACTTCACACACTGCAATCAAACATTACCAATTGTTTGCAGGCTGACTGCAGCACTGCCACACATCCCACACATTCTGATGTTGAATTTCTCCTTTATATATTATCAAAAAATAGTCCCATGCATATGAAAAAGCACTGTATATACGTATATAAAGCAAAGCAACACCAGGCATTCTCCAATTAATAGTAATTTGATAAGATTTGACACATTATATGTGACTATAATTCTTGTACATCTAAATCATCGCAGTTTATAATCTCAAACGGCTGAGAATGTAAATATTGTACTTGAGTAAGAAATAACATTTGAAAGGCTAACCCGTTCTTGTTTTATAGCGTATAAGTTGTTATCTTGAGGTTTGTGTGTTTAGTTTCCTTGGTTGTACTATTTCCTTTGCCAAAAAAATCGAATCCAGCAATTTAACAACAGCACTGCCACCTGTAGAGGCCAAGCCCCCGCTCCTTAGAGGAAAAGAGGTAACAGGACACGGTTCAATTCAATGTCTTTGAACTACTTATAAACAGGAAGTGGATTCTCCTCAATGTACAAGTCCAAGAAAAGATAAAGATTAACCAACAAAAAAGAGAAATAACTGATATGAATAAGGTATAATTAGTGGTTTGATTGTTGTTTAATAGGCATTATTTGATATGATGTCTCAACATTTATTAAAATGCCCAAATCTGAATTGACCCCTGTCTTGTTACTGGATTACTTCACTAAAGTGATACAGATTGAAATGCAATACTGCTTACTTAGTGATGCATGAGCCGCTATTCAAAAGTCATGCAAGCCCCACATTCAACAATAACATACTTAAATGTAACCTGCAAAATATAGTGCAGTGAAATCAAACTATTTGGAAATAGCTCAATAATTAAATGAAGGCTTTTATGACATGACATGATAATAATGCATAATAACTATATAGCTTTAGTGAAGCGCTATCAAACAATTTCACGTTTGTTTTATACTGAAAAAAATGGTTTGGGTTTGTATTTATGTCTCTGTTTCTGTCTATAGAGTTTTCTATTTCCATGTACCAAAAAAGATTGTATATAAAATGTCTCAATGTAATAGTGTGACACTGACTTTTTCTTTCTGCTCATCACAAACCAAATGTTACAAAACATGATCATTTACAGTATTTCAAAGACAGCTTAGAGATGACAGGACTTTTCGAGCTTTTCAAAGGGTTGCTGCTGTTTCCGAATATCTCCAACAGAGTAGTAATGAAAAAGCACTCAAAAAATAATACTCATACTTCACCTCTATATTATACTTTAAAGGCATTTTAGTGAATATAGTAAGTAAAATGCATAAAGAGAATCAGCAAGGGCACTTATCTCATGAGTTACACAGTTACATACTACATTTTATATATGTCTTATAAGGTAACTGAAAGATGACCTTATAAGACACATATAAAATGTCAACACATGTTTGTGACAAAAATAGCAACACTTATCTGAAGAAAGTGTTGTTATTTATACCTCAAAAAGGGTAAATGGCATGTTTGGAAGTGATTCAAAATATTATTCAATGTTTTTTTACCAGAGATATACCAAAAAAATCTACAGACAACATTACGTTCTGCTTTCAGAGAACATCTCACTGCCCTGAGACAAATAGTTAACTAAAAACACGATACTTTGAAACTTTATGGCTCAACACATTCTGTACATTGATGAGAACTTGGTTTCTGACATTATGCAATTACCATGTCTTTGTAGTTGGGGTAGAAAGTCTGATCAATGAGAGGGATCTTATCTGAACCCAGCCTCTTCTGGTTATTGGTCAGCTGGGAGAACTGGTGGAGAGGAGGAAGATGGAAAGAGAGAAATAGAGGGAGAGAGTTAAATGTGACTTAAAGCATAGAACAGAGACATTTTTCTAGATCGTTATAATTGTAACTGTGCTTGAAGCCAAGAAAAAGACATGAGTCAACCTAATACAAATTTAAACTGAGAGCTACAAGCTCCATTAAAACATATTGAAACATCTATTCAATGCAAAGTATAGCTAATACATCTTTTTTCTAGGTTCTTGCAGGTGTAACCTAGTTTAGCTGAAATAGCTTACAGCCCAAGGTTTGTCACAGAGGTTGTAGATGGAATCCAGAGAGTTGACCGAGGGGATGCCCGCATACTGCAGACCAATGATCAGGTTTCTAAAATCCTCGTTCTGGGCCATGCTGAAGGCGTGCTGGCGCACCAAGACGAAGTCAGGCCTGAAAGTCCTGGAATGCAAAGATATAAGGTCGAAATAAGTATATACATATTTAGTTACTTTGTACCTCATTTACACAAGTATTTCTCAATACACAACAAAATTACATTTATGACTGTATGAATCCAGTTCATTTCACATTGTCAAAGAAAAAAGGGTCAAGGTTCAAGGTTCTTTATTTAGTCATACGTTCAGGTTCAGTTTCATCCCACAGGCAATAAGACTGTTAAACACCTGAACTGTTGAAGCAAAATATGTTAAACACCTGAACGGCCCGTCCACACAGCGGCGTGCGTTGACGCTTGCCGGCAGGCGTGTCTGAAACTCGACCAACAACCAATCACATGAATCTCCCGCCCCTGACACACAAGCAGCGGTTTGATTGGCTAGAGCTTGTACTGGCATATGATTCGATTGGCTGACGCTTCTGCGGAGGCGTCAAAAGTTGAACATTGCTCAACTTTTGCAGCGAGCCACGCCAGCAACGCTCCACGTCGCTTCCCACGATGCAGTTTGGCGAAAAGTGACGTCACCCCATTCAAAGTGAATGGTGAAGCGTCAACGCACGCCGCTGTGTGGACGGGCCGGAACAGTTGAAACAACATCCCTAATATTCATCTGGCTGCTACTTAACAATTATTTTTTAAATCATTTATCTATTTACCTATATATCCTATTTCAATAACTTGCATATAGACTCTTATTGCACTATTTCACTTTTTGTATTACTATTTACTTGCACTATATTTTTTCTGTTTATCTGTGTTTTGTGTTGCTCTGTTGGAGAAGCCTGTGGCACAAGATTGTATTGATATTTCATAAAGTCAGACATTTGGATCTGGCTGATGTTACAGACCTGCATTTTGTGTGGAAGAAAGAGAAGAGATGGCATTAACTAAAGGTCATGGTGCAACGGGAAAACCCACAAAGCCACAAGTGAAAGGTAGAGGCAGTGAGAGAATGAGTCTGTCTATGACCACATGAATAACTTATATCGGACTGAGGAAGAAAGACAATGGAGCGGCCCATCCTCAGCTCTCTGTTGTGGATTGCTAAGTAAAGAGATCTACTTTTCCTGGCACACAGGAGCCAGTCTGATGGTAAATGACGCCTGAAGTGGGTAATTGATGTTACATTTATTTTTCCATTATCTATAATGAAAATGACACATTCAATTAAATCATAGGAGTTTTATAAGCATCACTTTCAGTATCAGTGGAAAATATATCTATGATGTGAATCATTATTCATAAAATAAATGTAATAAACAAGTGAACCCTTCATGTTTGAAATTGTTTTCCTGGCTTTCTCTTCGGAGATTGCAATTTCACATCATTACGGCACATTGAGTTTGGCTGCAAAACGTTGTGATTCAGTTGGTTGTTACCCATTGATGATGCCAGATGTTTTCCTAAGTGAATTAACCTTTTCAAACCGTGACAGTGGACCTGGATCTTATGCATCTTAACAACATTAAGCAGAGTATATTGAGAGAAATGACGGATGACCCTTTATGTTGTAATGCATCATTCAGTAAGACAAGTGGGAGCGGCTGTAGTTATAATGAACATCACACAATCTTTAGTAAACAGGCACTGCTCATATTGTTTTATAAATAGTGTTTTCAGAAAGAGTATTGACATTAGGGTTGCAAAATCCCGGGAATTTTCAAAGATGGAAACTTTCCATGGGAATTTATGGGAATTTATGGGAATAAACTGGGAATTTTCAAAATTGAAGGTCTTCATAGGGAACTTAAATATATTTGGGGAAAGTATATTTTAGCATAATCTTGACTAAAACAAACAGATGCCATTCAAGTACACTTGAATATCCATGCCAGAGCACACTGCTTACTGCATGGCTATTGAGACCACACCCCCTACGGGCACTGTGCATTCCTCCATCACATGCACAGATGAGTAATATTTAACTCAACATTCCTGTTTTCGTTCTTCAATGAAACAAATAATTAAAACTTGTTCTGTTCTACTTAAAAAAAATAAAAAATCTGTTGAAATCTCATGTTTTTTGTTTAAGTTTGCATCAAATATTTCCAAAATCCCCCAGCTTAACTTCCCACGGAAACTTTCCGGAAATGTTCCGCCCCTTTGCAACCCTAATTAACATTAGCATTTGTTCACTCTTGCCAGGTAAAAAAACAAAGAAAGTGCATCTCTATTAGAGCTCATGGCTGATGCAAAACAACAAATTGATGGCAGGGATATAGCTTTCAGAATGTTAAATAAGGGATGGATCTTAACAAGTAAACATTATCAGACAGAAATAGGTTCCATGTGTGGGGTTTTATGATCCATTACCAGATGGAACAGCAGATTTTACGACAGGTGTATGGCCAACCTCTTGAGCCACCGCCACCCATCAGTCTCCAGAGCAAAATATTAAAAACTGAAGCTCTTGAGTTCATTAGTGACCCGCAGATTAAAGACAAAAACAGAATCCAGCTCAGTGATGGGTTGATAGTGATAGGGCATGACTCCTGTTATTATTTCGTTTCTCTCAGACTATGAGAGAGGTGGGAGTGTGAGGTTAGGTAGAGAAGGAAAGGGAAGAGGTGAGAGAAAAGAGACAGAGGAAATAATACAGAGTAAAAGAGACATAAAGAGGGGTGAGAGAAAAGTTTGGCACTCGGTGGCCACCACCAGCTCTTCATGCACAGAGAATACTAATCACACTCTTCAGGAAAGTATAAAAAGACTCTGCTGGAGAGACACAGCGACTAATGTGACTGATATCTCTTCATAGCTGACAGTAGGCAGCGAAGATGACCCTCCATTCAAATATGAATCAGTGAGTAGCAGGGGTAGAGTCATCCCACTAGCTTTCACTTTGCTTTTTTAACCGATATGATAGTACAGTTATGATAGCTGCCAGGGGCGCCACCAGGGATTTTGGGCCCCATGAAAATATATCACATTGGTTACTTAAACATTTTTTTCTTAATGTTCTAAAATTGTTTGGGCCCCTGTCAGTCACGGGCCCTTAGAATCGTTCTAACTTTTCACCCCCTTACGGCGCCCCCTGCTAGCGGCAGTGCTTTAAGCTAAATGTTCACAAGCTAACAAGCTTAATCTCACAGTGCACACATGCTGGTAAATAGGTGTTTTATTTACTGTTGTGGAAGAGCTTGTTTGTTACACAGCAGCATTAAAATCATTCAGATGGGAGCTTTAGGGTGTGCGGATATATGTGTATTGCTATTACTCACTTTATTTGACCCATCACTCATCAGATTCTGCGATGGTTTCATATTTTGTATTGATATGTTTACATCTGTTAATTAGCACTGAACACAAATCAAAACTAGGCTGATGGCATTCGTTTTTTGGGTATTTTGTCGTAAAGTATCAGAAAAAAATAAATGTGACATTATTACATGAAATCTCAGGGGATTGCCACATAATTTATTTTAATAAGCGTTTTCCAGGCAAACCATGACATAGTGTCACAACGTTGCACTAGGTTGCATTGCCTCATTAAAATGATTGTGGACACTTTTCTTTGAGTAAAATATTTTCTAAAAACTACAGCGCCCAGGAAACTTATATTATAATATGTGGACGTTACTTTGATTATTTCTGATGAACTCTTTATTGCCCGGTACATGGGTGTTTTTTTCCTGAATGTCCTGAACCTTTTAGCCAACATGATGCCAGAATAAACAGCAGGGTATTGCCGAATACTTCAAATGTAGGGTGGATATTTTAAGGCCCCGGCCACACAAGGACGAAAACGGCTAAACGCATAGGATTAACGCAAACGCAATCGCAAACAGGCTTCCGTCCACACGCAATATTCACCGGATAGTGTCTGTCCACACGAGACAGCTCCGTTTAGCTCCAACCGCTGGAGAAGCTGCAGTACATATGCAGGAGCCTGTACGTGGCGCTGTAACTTCCTCCACAAAAGCAGCGAAGAAGCATGGTTGTCATGGTTGCCCTTCTGTTTATTCACCGCGGTGGGGGCCGAGGGAACCGGGCAGAGTTTTTCGCCAGTCAACGTGTATTAAAGTTTAAATCTTCCGGACAAAATTATAAAAGTGCCGGTCAAAGGTCTTCTTTGTTATTTATTGAGCTTTAAAACAAATGAATAACGAATCTATATAATATAATAATAAAATACATGGAGCCTCTCTTTTTCCTCCCTCTCTTCGGACAGCGTCAGTGTCTGTCTCATGCAGCAGCTGATCCAGTAATGAGTGACCCGGCCGACAGTAAAAATAAACATATTTATATCTAGTTTAGGTAGTTTGAGAGGTAATTAAAATAGCTAAGGGTGATGATCTGACTTGAAGTGTGTGTTTTGCTCCGTTCACCGCTGCATCACAGCGGGAGGAGCTGCAGGTGAGCAGAGCTGCGTGTCTCCGTCCTGTCAGATTAGACTTCACTCGCGTTTAGGTCCATATTGAGAGAAAGATAAATAACCTGAATTCAGTGTGCAGTTTACTTTGACGCGGGGGTGAGCAGCAGAGGTGGGGAGAGGCGGGGCTATTGCCTCATCATTATCAGAAAATGATCGTATAGGGCGTACACACGGAGCCGTTGGACCCCCCAGAGCGTTGCGTATGCCGTTCTATCCACCTTGGGACCCGTTATCGTTTCCGCAGTCGTTTCGTGCCGTATTCGGTCGTCCTCGTGTGGCCGAACGGTCTATATGACAACAAACAGTAACGCAAACGACCGTTTTCGTCCTCGTGTGGCCGGGGCCTAAAAAGCCTACTGAGCACCACAGAAAGGATGTTGAGAGACGGACTACAACATTGTTGGTTTTCAAGGGATTTGGTAAGAAGAGGAAATCAAATCAAATAATACCTGACTTATTCTTTAAATTACTTTGTGTCATCATTAATAAATGATAACCCTTGTGATGATGCATTCCCTTTTCCTCTCCTTAAACATTACATTACATTACATTACATTGCATTTAGCTGACGCTTTTATCCAAAGCGACTTACAACATGCTGACAGTAAATATTTATTTATATTGTCGGGTTGTGGTTTCCTCTTGGTGGATGTTTTTACTTAATATTTGTTATCTCAATTGCAGATATGAAGCCAATAAAGAAGGTAGACAGGAGCTGAATAACATTTAGCCTCATGTTTGGAAAACATTAAATCGTCTTCCTGGTTAGGGTTACTTAGCAAATCACTGCTTTGACTTGAAATCGATAGACACAGTGTAATTACCGAGACAATTGAAGATAGTTGAAACCGTCCAAGTCGTAAAAGACTGCAAAGAACTCAGGCTGGCAGACAACAAGACAGATAATTATCTTGCAAACGCATTCATTTTCTCCACAGCTTGTCCTTGTTTGGCTGAGACAGAGGCGATGATACAACTATGGAGGTCTCCGAGGAGCTCTGATTTAAAAGAATAAAGCTTCTGTAGACATACTAGTGTCGGGTTAGATGAATGTGAATCTTTTTGTCTACCAACCAAAAATCGAAGTTTCCCTGAATCTGCATTATCTCAGGTCAGTGTTTGTGGGTGCACATTTGAGGACAAACCGTTCATAAAGCATAATTACAGGGCAGCGAGGCTGATCACCAGTCTGAGGCTGCCGTCTTTATTTCCTGTTGGTTTTGTTGGTGAGCAGTGGGAGTATACTTAATCTCTGGCAGTCTTCAGCGGGGGCGCTGATGTCTGTGTCGCTGTGGTCTGTGGTGTGTGATTGTCTGGTTTACAGTGCGTTCACGTGTTTGCACTGGGCCAGTCTGTGGGTAATGACTGTGGTCATACGCCTCCGTCCTTTCCACTGTTTAGAGCTTGCGGTAGACAAATAGTTTATTTCAAAGAGGAATCATTTTGATTTCCCCAAAAATATATTTGGATCATCTTTAATTGATGCATACGAGTTATACAGCAGCTCTGCGCTCGGGTTTGAAAAATAAATCTAAGTTGTTATTATTCTTTTTTGTAAAGAGCCAAATGTCTTCCAAATTATGGAAAGTTTCACAAAGTTCTTCAGGTTGTAGGTTTTGGATTTATTGTCAATGGTTGGTTGCTTTTTTTGTGGTTGTAATTAATCTCTATGGAATGTGTGTGTGTGTGTGTGTGTGTGTGTGTGTGTGTGTGTGTGTGTGTGTGTGTGTGTGTGTGTGTGTGTGTGTGTGTGTGTGTGTGTGTGCTACTGACCTGACCACTTTGGTCCCGCCCCTGATGACTTGCATGTCCACGCTACAGTTTCCATTTGAATAAGAGACGAGGTTAACCTCTGAAAACTCGGCCTACAAGAGTGGAAAGAGAACACGAGACACAGAAATTTCATAAAGAATAAGCAGAATATTACATTACATTACATTACATTGCATTTAGCTGACGCTTTTATCCAAAGCGACTTACAATAAGTACGTAAGTGTGTAAGTAATAAGTGTGAATATCTAATAATTCTACCCTAAATAGTTAAGGTTGTTGTAGAAGACATTATATTTTAACTTGTTTCTATAATGACAGTTGTTTTTATACTGGGTATAGCTTTTTTTTAATCATTTTCATACATGGGTAAACTGGTAAATAAATTATTTTCTCTTTTAAAAATGTATTTTGCAGAAGCAGTGATAGAAAGCGATACGAAACACTTTAGCATTTCAATGAGCGGTTATAATACTCATTGTATTTTTGACATTGTGACAAACATCTATTTTATTGTATAAACTATATTGTTATTCGAGAGTAGAATAATGCATGTGTGGTTGCAAATTGAAGATTTGTCTGTGACTCATAGCTGCCGACTCCGGCCTCCTCTTGTGTCTATTTCTGTTTCTGTGTGAAGGCTTGAGGTCGTAATTTCATTGTCAACATCTATTAGCTGTGAAGCTGCTTGGCCTTCAACCCCAGAAAATATTCATTTCAGTTTTATGCACTAACCAAATAATGCAAAATGAAATTGGTTTCCTGGATAGGATGGTTCAACCAATATGAAACCATAAGTGGCACACACTTTAAAAGATAAGGAAGAACTGATGGTTTTACAAGTGTTATATGTATATTTATTATTGTGTAATGCACAGCACAAATTACATTTTTGCTGAGGATGACTAGTGCAAAAAACAAAAACACTCAGCAGTTTCTATGGGGCAGACATGGTTTGAAACCTGTAACACAGATTCCTGGCAGAGAATCTATTTGATGTGTACAATGCTAATATGCTCACAGTTACAATGCATGTTGATGTTTAGCAGGTAGGCTGTATGCTTTACAGGTACTTTTAGCATGCTAACGTTTGCTAATTAATGCTGTACAATGTAGTCTAAAGCTTAGACAGTTTGCAACATCATCATTTTATTCATAACCAGGGGAACGCTGTAGATTTAACTGAACTTTTCCCTAAGGACACCTAGAATATCTGTAGATTTTCTTATACAAATTATTTCAGTATGCCTATATCTCCAGATATTTTAATAATAACCAAAGATGTTAATCTCTAGCTGGAGTTAACGGAAACTTCAGGGGTTCACTAAGTCATTAAGATTTCTCGTCCATAGGCACGTACAAAGAATATCTGTACAAAAGTGCATTTGGGTATCAATCTAATAGTTGTTTAAGTTTTGGTGCAGTCCAGGAGAACTGCTGCCATCACAGGCCACACCTATCCTCCTTTCTCTGCAACCACAACATAGCAATGTCACATGTATTCACTCTTTTTTCTGGAGTAACACCTTCCAGTATATATTTCTTAGCAGGGACGTGCACAGGTACGGGCTAATGTTGCCCGGGCAACGGCCCGTTTGGCCTTTTTGACTGACCTGCCCCTCTGGAGAGAGCGAGAGTTTGTTTTTCTTTTTTCTGTTGTGGCCGAATCAACATGATAAGCCCACAATTAGTATTGTAGCGTCTCGCTACGGGAAACACACTTCGTCAGCTCTGTCATCTGCCGGTGCGTTAAGACCACCTCAGTATCGGATTTTGGAAACTTGATTTTGAGTTGTCTCATGGCAGTTAGGGTATAAGGGACAAACCAGGGGACTTTACTTCCTCTTGATACCGTCGGTTATTTACAAAAAAACACCTAAATAAATAAGTAATTAGATACCCAACGCTCATAAAGAATGTTAAGAATAAGAATAATGCGTATTGAACTGGTTTCATTAATTACAGTAGTTAGAGGCCCTATTTTATCAGTATGTCTGGACTGCACAGCAGTTACAATGGTCTGGCAAACTACATTAGAACAGAATTGTCCCCATTTTGTCTTTAATAGTTACTAACATTAGATATTTTAATGAGATATGGACCGCAAAACAAAAAATGTCCCTGGTCACCTTAGCTTATTTTGTTATGAGATGATAATGTGAATTACTCTTCAAATTAGTTAATGTAAAAATCGTTTGGTTTCTTTTACATCAAAAACAAGTTACAATTTTCAAAAGGTCTTGTGTTTTTTTTCCGGGGGGAGGCCCTTTTTCCAGTTTAGAGCAATAGCCCCTCCAAATGTCTGTGCACGTCCCTGTTTCTTAGTTCTTTGGAACTTTAACTTTCTGTACAAAGCAATCAGTCGGTTCAAACGTATGCATTTTCATATCAGAGGTGAATGTGGTGTCAGTTCACTTTCCTCTCTGTTCTGAACCCCCCTCAACCTTCAATAAATGATTCTGTGTCATCATAGGTCTATAGAAATCAATACGATACCTGCTCCACTTTGATGTCGTAGTCACCAAGGATCTTCTTTCCCCGAAACACTTTGGCCCTGGAAGAGAAGAGACACAGTTTGTCATTGTAAACTCTATGCTACCCTCTACTGGATGTCACACACCCTTTGGAACAAACTAAAGAAAGAAAATGGATGCCTGCTTGTCGCTTTTAAAAAGGCCACACATTCTAATGAGCAGCTTAAAAAAGAGATCAGTGCAGCATATCAATGTAGCCAATCCAAAATGGCAATTACTATCAATAGCTTGTGGTTGCATTACATTCGAATTAGAGTTCTGCTGCAATACTAAATGCCGTCTTGCCGTTTGAATGATGAATGCATCCAATAACAGAGCGGTCTGATGTCTTAATATCTTGGCTGCCATTGTTTCTAAGAGTGATTTAGAAATGAAGTACAAGTAAACACACAGACAGGCAGACAGATTGAGAGCAGACAGACAAAAACGGACCAACAGTGAGAATGACTCAAGCAGAGAGGCACAGGCTGCCAGGCAACACACAACATTCTCAGGAAGACTCATTATACACAACATTATAAATGGTTTGCAGATGGTTTGCACAGCATCCATTACAACCCCATACACTGAAGCTAGATAAAGCAAAAACATGATGTAGAAGGATGGGATACATGCTAGCTGATAATTAAAACTACTTTTACAGTGTTTAACGTCAATTACATCTTCTTTTTGCTTCACGTTACTGACCCTTCACCAACTACAATGTGGTACAGCGAGTAAAATGTCAACTCCAACAGGTCCTCCATTAAATGAATGTATCCCCTCCAGGCATGTCATTGGATCCAATAGGAAGTTAAATCGAATTGTACATGTCACCATGGATCCTCTCCTTGTCCTCAATTAAAGATGTATGTAACATTCCTTCCATATCACCTCGCAAAGCCTTGTGCGGTACAGCACGAAGGCATCTGGCTTATTAGTCTGGTTCATTAGGAGCAGACCATCTGTGAAAGAGACACTCTGAGGGTATGACTCCGTAACTTCCACCAATCAATAGTCGCCAGCAAAATTGGTGGCCTTGTAATTACGGCAATATATCTTTTTCAGTACCGCTTTCATTCTGTTAGTTAGCGTGTGGTGTTTTTACTCATAATTGGCAGATGCTTGAAAACACTGCAATGCTGCCATGATGATGACATTATCATTAAAACAAAAACAAGAAAAACACATCTCTGTGGTTAAAGAAATGTTTTCACTCTCTGCTTTTTTAATTTTAAAATCCCATATACATTTTCATAGGATTGTATTTAAAAATCAGCTATCTCTAATCCCATAGCAATTGAATGTGTCTAAAGAGGCTCCACAGTCAGCATGTGTTGAGTATCTGCAGTGCACAATGCCAAACAATACAAAGACACAAGATGTCAGAGCACACTAATGGACAATTATCATCAGGCTGCTGATGTAGCTTCCCTTAGTTAATTCTTTCAAGCAGAATACTGCTAGCGAAACACACCATGTGCAAAGCGAGTCGGCAGACAGATGGGGCGTACTTTACATGCTCGTCACAGGAACAATAAAAGACAACCTTATATTTCTTGATTTTGTGGGGAGACAGAAGCTTGTTTTATAGGACATCTGCACATCTCTTCGATGCTTTAAAGCTGCACTGCTTCCATTTGAGGCGAGCAACACAGGCGGTTAGTGACATTTTATTGCCATATAAAGTTGTTCTAGCTAAAGTATGAGCAAACTGTAAGCTATTAAACATCATTCAACAAAAATACTTATTGTTGTAGCCTTTACTGCAGTTTCAAGCACAGTGCATCGACCTGCAGAGCACAACCTTTACCATATTCTATTTTATTTACTTGCACTATTTTATGTTTTATTGTGTTGCATTGTTGGAGGAGCCTGTGACCTAAGATTATCATTGTCATAACTACACTTGAGATATGCACAAATGACAATAAAAGTCTTGAATCTTGAATAATGTGCTCTTATCCTTACCAGCGCTTCAACAAGGAATCTCGTTTGATATATATATATAGGATCCATTACAGACTGAATAAGATAAATGTTTACGCCAAAAGTTTCACACTTCTGTGAATCTATACAGTAAATCTTTAGCAACAAGCTCTACGACAAAATACCCTCAGGACAAATCTTCACCCTCCACAGCGGGAAGAAAGTGAGAAGGAAAGTTTTCTCTCCATTCCATCACTCATCAACTTTCTGGTGTGAGATAATCATTTCAGTTTCGTGAGGCAGCTAAAACTGCCATAGATTTCAATTTAGCCACAGGATCGCCCACTTTATGAAGTGTTAAGCAATATCATCTCTGACAGGTCATCCCCGCAGTTCCCTGTATTCAATTTCTATCACCCACTGGTGTCTTGTAAGAAGCCCTGAAAACAAAAGTCAGCACTGTTTCCTTCACTGAGGAACGTTTAGTGTATGATCTGACGAGGAAGCAACTCTTAAACACTTGTATATAATTTTATTTCTAAACTTTCAATATTGCAAAAAAAGGATTATAAGTGAAAAACTACTATAATAAGAAGAGCTAATAGATCCTCAGCGACACCCACATGTTTTGTTAAAGCATACCTGCGGTGTATGTGATACAAGTATGCTATCTTATTACTGAGAAATAAAAGAGTAGACATCATTGGATTAATAACTTCAGTGTTATTCCCCTAAAATGAAATGATGGTATTCCACTCACACAAACACATTGAAATTGAAAATATATACAGTAGACACATGTATGAATAGGTGCTTTAAATGAATTTTTGAGATAGACTAAATCATTTTATGTCATCTTTTTGATGAAATTGCCTTGGCATAAAGTGGATAGAATTTAGGTTTCTATAGAAACTACTGCTGCAGATTTGTTTACTCAGGCAAGGGTTGTAAACAGATTTAGATCGTAGACTCGCCATTACCCAAATGCAGCTGAAAAGACTGATGAGTTCAAGCTCTACGGAGAAGCCCAGATAAAAGTGGATTTAAATCTATTCAACTCAGCGGCTCCAGCAGGCACAGAAAAACATCTGAGCGATGGAGATGGGGCTTTTGAGGAGGAGAAATCCTGACTTCTTGGATATAAGTATATGAATGAAAGAATGATAGGGTCAATTCAAATACTAATTCCTACCAAAAAGGACAATGTAGCGTAGTTCTGGCAAAAGAGAACCTCTAATAACATGATATCTTAACATGCTGGTGTGGATATACTTTATAATAATTTGGGCACCATGATTCCATTTCTACTCTAAACACCTTCTTTAAAAAAGAAAAGCTGCATCATGACATTACATTTGATCCATGTTAAGTCCAATACATTTGATGGACAAGTATTTAGTAATAACTGTGACGCGTGTTTAAGGAGCTAACAAGGCTGAAAACAACACGACCAAAGGCTCTATGATGGGCTAAATGCGACAGATTAGATCCGTTGACTCCATTTCTGCTCAGGGTCATTTGCTTCGATCCCATTTTCCTTATTGATCTGTGGAGTCCAAGAGTCTGAGACCAAAACATAGGCCAGTAGAAATTAAGCCTTTAAAATCAAGCCATGACAGGATAAAGTGACAGAGAAAACAAAGATAACAAACAAAGTAGCATGTATTGCAAATCATGAAAAGAAAAGCATTAAATAGGTAACTCAAACATAATGTGCAATAGCTACAGTGTGGACATGTGTGTTGTATTTACAGCTATATCCTAATTATAATTTCTGCATCTAATTTGGCTCCCCTATTCTCTTGGTTTTCTACACAAAGATGCTGGATCTCTGAAAGCACCATCACATGTTCAATATTAGCGCGAGGAAATATCTTTGATAGGCATGTTTTACTTGGACTGAAGTCCTGTTTGACATTAGAATTCACAGACTCCATTATCAAGGGATATTGACTGAGTCTGCTGCACTTGATTTGCATGATACATCACATTATGACAGGTGTCCTTCCTCATCACTCTCTCCCACACTTCTTAGCTATTTGTAATCGTGTTTCCTTTTTTTAAACTAATATTATAGCTGTAGATGATCCTCTACTTCCCTTTACATCGGTGGTTTTCAAAGTCTGAAATGTCTTTTCCCAAATCCCACACATTTAGGAGATGTTCTTTTGATGGGGATACGTGCCTCTGCTCAACATGTATCTTTTTTTGTAATCCCCCCTCGGCAGATATCATGATCAATTCATCAATTCAACACCATGTGACATTAATGGATTATATGCATACAAATGAACCATACCTGAAAAAGAGACTGCATTTTGATGGATTTAGTGAGTTAAAAATGATGGAGCGAGGCCTGCTCTGCAGCTGTGGTGTTTAAAAAGGAGAGCACTCATCAGTCTCTGTTAACAGCGCATTGACATAATTGTCTATCAATGGAAAGATCAATGGCACGATTAAAGAAGCCAAGAGATAAACTAAAGCCATTTTCTCAAACAGATTTGAGAAAATGAAAAAGGGCCATCTTCATGTTCTGGCACAGTGTAATGGCTCTGGTACGGCAACATTACACAAGCCCGGCCTTTTCATCTCTACAGTAGATCCACACGTGGGGGGCAATTTGTGTAGAACAAGACTGACTGCGGGGTGAAAGGGCAAAAAACGTGTAAGAGCAGTCCTCTCAGCGCTAGTGCGGTGGGAGATATCAGGAGCGTTTGGATAGCTGCAATGACCAGGTGGGGGCATGACGATGAGAGCAGAGAGGGAGGAGTAACACGGGGCAGAGGACCGAGCTGGCTGATATCAGGACATATCTTCCGTCGTAAAGTGAAAACCCACCTACTTGGCTTGTATCTTGGCCATTAAATAAATACACTAGAGCAGGGGTCTCAAACTCTGTGGCCCCGCAAGAGCTTGCAAAGAATATAATACGTTTATTATACGGTTACATGACACTTTACAGAAGCAGGTTGCCCATAAACTACATGTCCCACAATGCATCTCGTTTTGTGACATGCGCATTGAAGAGACTTGCAATTATTTGCCCTGGACTTCTGCTTTCAGACGTAGTTAGTTATTAGTTATTATCCTATCCGATAATAATCCAATTCAG